CTCGACAGAAACACTCTATTGTTTAAATAGTACGCGCTGATAGCGGGAGCAAATCGTTTCAGCCAGTATATTTCCATCGGGTACATTTTCACCGGCAACGCCATGAAACATTTGGTTCATGCTTTTAGCTGTGCACTTTATCGATTTATGGTACACGTCGAAGATATGGAGAACACTCGAAGCTAGAGCTGCCCTCGGCTCTCGCCTTGAGCAACTCTTACACTCCTTTCTTGCTCTCCAAATAAACGGCGTACACCATAACTTGATATTACGCGCTAAAGCATGGCCCAATTCTCTTTTTGTCCTTTTGCGAGAAAACGCAAACGTTTACTGATTATGGTAAAAGGAAGCACTAAGAGGTAACGGTTCAGATCTTAACAATATCAAGTTTATTGTAGATCTGGGGCTGAATTTACGAAGCTCTCTTAGGTTAAGATGTATCGTAAGCATTGTTTCTCAACAATAGTCTTTTAATCTAAAAGGATTTTCTGAATCTGGACCCTAGTTTCTTTGTTGCCTGCTGTCCTCACTCACTCGAACGAACGTCTTGACTTGAAAGTCTGACTGACGTAGAAATACTCTATACATCCGGTTCGACCCCCAAGAGCAAACTCTAACTTAAAGATATATTGCTCTCAAGCTAGTGTTAACAGTGACCTCTGATTTCAAGAAGATCACGTAATTTATAATATGGTAAAGATCAATGGGACTAAAAGCCCATGCTGAGTCCTCATTAAGCCGGAACTGGTTAAATCTGGAGTTTAACTGAACAGTATCTATTGGGGAATGTGATTATGTGTCTCTTGAGACTTGCTTATACTGAGGTACTCAGTTCACTTCAGGCACGAGAGACTTCCCAAAGAGAAAGTGAATAGACTAACTCTAACTTAACGACTTTTGCAATAACATGACTGTTAAAACCAAAACCAAATCAAGTATTCTAGCCAAAAACAAAGGACTCAGACAATACGGTGAGCCAATCAAAACTCGAAGTGGTCTTACCTCTGATTGGATGGAAAGTTGGCGCGAGTTTTTTAAGCAAATCGTGTAGCGTAGTAAATGCAAATAAAACCAATTACTTTTCGACAATCTAATGAAAACCACTGTAAATTAAAAGGGCAAATACGAAAAAGCGCTGATCCAGTCTTTGGATTGGCATCCTCATACCAAAACCTACCCGTCCCTCTTAGCCCGCGGGGACTAGGCAAGAGCAAAATTTGGCTCTTGAGACACTTGGTTCTATTGGCTAGATTCTAGGATTAAGATTACGGACAACGGAAGCTCAGTAAATCTCGAGGCCCCAGAGAAAAAAATTTGTGTCGTTTGTCGTGGACGACATGCAATGGAAATGCAAATATCTGTGAATTAATCAGTTTTGATGCACCTCAAAAACACGAGCTTGGGTCAGTTATGATTTGAAGAACACTTGACATCATTAGTGGAGCGATTACCGGTATGATTTTAGCTTCCTATCTGTTACCAGGAGCTCCTGCTGTTACCTATATAACACATACAACTTCCTCTCTGGTACGACACTTTGTTGCCCGGGGGAACTCCCATATAAAAACGACCGGGATGCTCCTCGTAACTTTAGGCCGGGCTGACTGAAAGCGGTTTTGGTACCTCTCAGGGTGTTCAGCCTCAAAAAGCCCACAGCGGGTGCTTTAATTTCGCGGTACCTTTTAGGGTGATGAGCCGAAAAAAAATATGACAGGACATATTTGACAATCAACTATACGAGACGAAGGTATTCGAAGGAATCGCCTTTGTCATTTAATGTATTGTTTTAGAATTGGTACCTCTTAGGGGTGAAAAAAAACTCAAGCCACGCCCACAAAACAGGATCTCGGTACTTCTTTAATAAGGGCTCTTTTCAAAATTCCCGACGAGCACCCCCGTGGCGCGTCCGTTTTATTCGGGAGTCACCCCATGGGGGATTTCGTTCTGACCTTCAATTCGGTGTCGGTCAGTAAAGAGGTTTAACTGACCTTTACTGAACTGTTCAACGTACATTAGTGAGTAGAGATATTGTTTGGCATCTTGAGGATACATGTACTGCTAACTGGTCGATGTTAGCTACGGTAAAATTTAGTCCGCGCAATTTAAGTGCTGCTAAAAGGTATTTCATCTCTAACGGAACTAAACAATCATCAAACTTCCGAGAAAATCTGCATTTGCAATTCAATGACAAAATCACATCTTTCCAAATAGCTCAAAATAAAGAACTAAACCTGAGCATCAGATCACAAACCAAACATAAATACATCGTCTTTTCTTTCCCCACACCTTGCCGTAAATACAAATTAATGCCTGGCCGGAGTTGGGGAATTTCGGCCACAAAACGAAATCTGCATCAGTAGAATCAAAAAATCCGCATGAATGTGTTGATTCCTCATACGTGCCGCGAAATAAGCAGAATAGAACAGTATTAATTCGTTTTCCGGTGAAAAGAAAGAAAAAGAAAAAGTCAATTACCAAGGTAAACTTGTCTCATTTTTTATTAATTTGTAACGCTGCTCACTAATGTAAACGCTATTTCCATACTGTTTTTAATAATCTAGGCACAGTATTGCCATGTATCTGTTGTCCTGATTTATTTGAATGTTGTCTGTCAGTGTGTTACCCCGGTGAGTTGACACAATGTTTTCTTTGCTCGATTCGGCTTGGATTATTTCAGGCTTTTGTTTTCGTTTTTTGCTTTTTGTTTTTTTTTTTGTTTTTATTTGTTTTTTCCAACTTAACTCTACTCTAGTACAATGCTATTAACAGAGGTTTTTGTTCTGTCTTGGGAAAACTATTTAGATATCACAGTAATAGAAGTGACAGTTGATATGTGAAAAGACACCGACCGATATTGAAAGACATCGAGTATGACACCACATTTTGATCACGATACCATTGCTATTTTTTCATGACACTTTCGCTTCCTTGGGGGAAATAGAGTGCTTCCTTTCTCGACCTTTCAATTAATAATGGAGATAGCGAATCGAACCGACTAATGAAAAAATGTGCAGCTTTCATTTAACAAGTGATAGGCAAACAAAGATTTCGATTTAAAACTTGACAGCGTAGTTCCTTTTCAGGGTTTGGTCTCGATAATATATCAGTGAAATAACAGTAACTTAAATGCATGAAAGATAAGTATTACAGTGACTATAGAAGAATATTAATTTCAGGAAGTAAAATCGTTCTAGTGGAATGAACAATTCTCGAAACCTAAGATCAATCGTGGACTTAGCGGGAATTGAACGGGGTTGACAGAAAGAAAATTGTCAGGGTGTATTTCCATTTTCCGGTACAGTGTCTACAAAAAGATATAATTGCACATCCAGAACCTTCGACATCTTGCTCTGGTTAGGTAGAGATACATGCAATAAAAGACTGAGGAGCTGGACCAATGCACTTAAAAAAAAAAAAAAATCAAAATTATTAACTGAACGCAACGTAGATATATTTGGAATGTTATGAACCACAGATTCGACTGAAGGACCCTTAAAAAAATTCTAAGTGTCAATTCGGTCTGACTTATAAAACGAAACAATACATGTTTCAATCAAAAGTCTATATGTTGCAAAAAATTGTCTCGAATAACCTCTTCTTGAATTTTATACCTTGGAAGAGATTAATATGGAGAAAAAAAACGGCTCAACGGGTGTCGCATTTGTCGCTGAAAAAAGGCACTGTTATGTTTCTCTTTGTTGATTACGCATTTTTAAAATAAGTTCCTGCAAGGTTTGACAAAGGGACATATTCTCTACATGCTAGTTACTCACAAAATGTCCTCCTTCGCGCAAAGTCACGGTGAAATCATTAAATATTTTGATTTTCGCTTTCTTGACAAAAGCAATCACTTTTTGTGCGATAGAAATCAGGCATGCAATTAGTAAGACGTGCGGCAATGAGTTTTAATGTATTCAGTCGAACTTGAAGTGCCAATATGTGAGTGACAGAAAAGCTAGCTATAGACACATAAAAGCATTGAGTCCCAACATCAAACGCTTTGTTTCCGAAAGGAAATTTTAGGTCGCTCATCGGAGCTATGTACAGCTTGCACCCTGAGAAGAAACTCAAGTTTCGTGACAACGGTATTGGAGTCTCGAACGCTTGAGGAAACCGGTGAGTACACTAGTTTTGAGCGAAAAGAAAACCATACTCATGTATTGTTATCGCAACTCGAAATCATTTAAATTAAGTGCATCCTTGAATTTATCTTAGTTCTTTACCACAATATACAGTGATGTGGACAGAATCATAACCTCATCCTCGTTGTGAAGGTACATCCGACACCCTCTTCTTTTGACTTAGCGTCTAGTAATTAAGTTCTATGGTTTGAATACGTGTTCCTCATGATTTTACGTAAATTTCATGCGGTTTGCCTCAACCATCTATCCTTGAAATGATGTTGTCTATTTTGCGCAACTATCGATGCCATAATGAAACTATCGGGAAATGAAGTAAGCCAGTTCTCTGAGGCGGCTGAATTGCATATTAAAAAGAAAAACAATTGCAATAATTATAACTTGCATGGGCGCTATTACAATATGCAACTCAAGGTGTAATTTTCCGGGTATGTTACATTTTATGTAAGACACATGAAACGTTCTGGAGATATTAGCGATACGCCTCTAATAGACAGTAAGCAAAGAGCGAAGCTTAGCTGAGATTATGTCTCAGATCAGAGTGGGAGGCTGTTCCCGCAAGAGTTCCACAGGGGACCACACTGGACCCCTGGCTGTTCGCTATTATGACAAACGACCTTTCCGTAGCAGACACAACTCTATGGAAATACGTAGAAGATACCACTCTCGCCGAGCCAGTATCCAAGAACGAGATCAGTTCCATGCAGTCATTCATAGATGAGCTTGTTCGGCAGTCTGAAGCTGACGGATTTCAGCTGAATGAGTCAAAGTGTAAAGAGCTGAGAATTTCCTTTTCTAGTTCACGTAGCACTGTAGGCCCCGATGATGAGCAAATCGAATTCGAAGTTATCTCTTTCGCAAAGTTATTGGGAGTTATAGTTTCAGATAACCTCAAGTGGAACGCGCATGTTGAATCTATTTGCAAAAAGTCCGCAACGCGCCTGTAGGTCCCACCGAATAATACGCTACTGTTTCAGACCGCCGACCGGTTAGCTCAGTTGGTAGAACGTCGGACTACAGTGCGGGAGGTCTCGGGTTCGAGCCCCAGACCGGACCAACACTCAGGGTCTTAAAATAACTCAGGAGAATATGCTGCCTTCGCAATGACATCTGCAAATGGTTAGATATTCTAGTCTTCTCGGATAAGGACGATAAACCGTAGGCCCCGTCTCCTGCATCTTCACTGTTATGGTCAGCAG